AAACAAATTTTTACGGTTTTTATCGTAAAACTCAAACGATAGGACGGATCGAGACGAAACGGGAGACATTCCGACCGTGGTTCGGAACACGATCGTGTCGAAGGACATAAGCCTTGAATCAGGAATGTGGGAGATCGAGGCTCGGGATGGTCGGTTCGACGTACGGCGAGCCGAACTAGACCGGTTCAGCTCGCCGTTTGGCGAGCTGCTCGGGAAGATTCTAGCTCGCCCAACGGCGAGCTAGTTGGGATGAGACTAGCTCGCCCAATGGCGAGCTAAGCCGGCTGGCTTAGCTAACCGTTGGGCGAACTAGTCGGGACGAGGCTAGCTCGCCGTTGGGCGAGCTAGTCGTGATGTGACTAGCTCGCGTTTTACGGCGGTTTCGGTTTTTCACGGTTTTGTGCTTAACTCGGACGATCGTGTAATCGTCGTTTGTTCCGTTTTTCCGAGAAAATGATCTTTCGATCTTTTCGCGGATTTTCTTGTTCGGAAATCTCTTTTGGATTTATAAAACGGTTTCTCGAGTTTTATAAAACGATTCTTCGAGTTTTATAAAACGATTCTTCGAGTTTTATAAAACGATTTCTCGAGTTTTATAAAACGATTTCTCGAGTTTTATAAAACGATTTCCTTTATCTTTTTGTGGGGAGTTTTGGCTGTTGATTCCATTGTACTGATTTTGACCCCAACAGCCGCTCTTCCAGCACTGACATCATCTTTACCAACTTTGATGAGTCCGTTGCAAACACTACCTCTGTAATCTAGAGAGTCTTCATTAATTTATCGCTTTCATCACCCAAATCAAAGCTTCACATTATGCATGTAAAAATAATAGACTTGGGTGAATATTCATGGCCCAATCATATTATTAGTAGAATTTTTTCTGCTGTAAAACCAGTTTTGTCCGGTAAACGTAACATTTTCTTTCCATGCACCATCACTATAACACCAATTTAAATCTGCCAAATATGGTATGGCCTGAGCCTCAGATCATTGTTTCGCCTCTAGTTATTCTTTGAGTTGTGCCTTAACCCACAGAGCTCCTTTTATTTCTGCTGCAGGTAAAATGTCTTGGATTTCCAGTCTTGTTCTTATATATCTTATAATTACGATTCTTCCAAATATAGCACATAAACCATGGAAAATAACTTAAATCAGGTTTCTTTGGGAACTTCCAAAATAAATAATCCATGTTAGTGAAGACTGAAGAAGAGGGAAAACATTCCCTAGACATTAATTGAAAATTAATTTGCCATGTGTCATTATTACAATTAATTTCACAGAAATGTGACAAGGCATATTAGAAAAGATGACATGGCTTAAAATAAAATGTGAAATGGACAATTACATTTAATGTTGATTTCTATTTTTGGTAAACTTTTTTAAAACTAGGTGATTTTCCCCTACATATGCACATGTATAAATATTTATAAATTAAATCTGTTATAATAATTAATTGATATTTACTTTTAGTTTTAAGTCAGTTTATACGGGTATAACTTATATTAATAATATTATATTAGTTGAACTAGAAATATGATTTTGCATATGGTATATCAAGTAGGTTTGATTGTTTTTGAATAACAGTTGATTTGGTTACCACTTGGTATATTAGACTTTTGTTTTGACATCGACAAATAGACTCATATGGACTCTGAGAACCACACCGGTAGCTCTGTATCCATGTGAACAACGAAAGACGATTGTTTTCTCGCACTGCGTGCTAGAATGTCTGCCCTTGAATTCAGTGTCCTTGGTACATAAATGATTGTCGAGTTTTGGAACTCCCTTTAAGCGTCTTGATATCTTCCAGATAATTTGCAAAGGCTGGCCATTCGTCTGTTTCCGAAACCATATTCACCAACTGAGAACAATCTGTTGCAAATGTAACGTAATATTGATGCAAATTCCTCATACCCTCCATTGTCCAGATAAGCGCTTCCACCTCGAATGAAGAAGTGAGAGGCTGGCTCTAACATTTCTTGCTCCCATTAAACCCACAAAACCTTCAACGGTACTATACCAACCATGTCCATCAGACACATCCTTATCTTTCCATGAACCATCAATAAAACATCAACGTCCTGGTATAGACGGTATGGCCGCGGCTACCCCTGACTGTATTTCACTCTGATTTACTTTTATTTAGGCCTCTTCCAACATAGTGGATTCTATCTTGGGTTTATTAGACTGTATCAATTTTTTTTTTCAAATTCAATTACATTAATTTTTATAAATTTAATAAAATTTGTATTAATTTTCTTAATTTTATTTAGGTTTGTTGTCGTCTTGATATGTAAATATAATTTAGCAAAATTACGTATAACTTATATGAAATAAAAATAAACTAAAGTATTTGACTCAAAATTACATAGATGAATATAATGATACTATTCTAAAGTCTCATGTATATATATAAATTTTACAAAAACAAACTGATTGTTACAATTGGTTAATAATTTATTTTTATATATTACTATGTTTTGAATCATCATATAATTTATATGTATAAAAATAAATAAAGTGTTATTCTAAAACTATATGAATTATGTGTTCTTGTGTTAGATATTCGATTTTGGGTATAAGTTAGATTAGTCCACTTACTTATTTTGTGAGTATGTTGAATTTCATATGTTCATTCAAATTTAGTAAAAAGTATAATTAATTATTTTTATTCTAATTAATTCAAATTAAATTAGTTTTATTTCTCGCTTAATGCAAGTTTCATAATATTATTAATAATTTCATATAAGTTCTTTTAGTTTTAAATGAGGATAAATAGGAAGTTACATACATAAATATAAGTACACATGATAATTTTTTGGAAACTCTTGAACGCATATAAATATTTATAATTAAAATATTTATATATTATAAATTATTTTACGCTTAGATTTCTTGAAAGGTAACCAATAATTATTTTAAATAATCTCAACAATCTCATATTTGCTTCAGTCTTTTGATTATGTGTATATTAAGTTCCAAAAACATAATGAAAAATATAATTTAAAAATAAACTAAATATTAAGGAATAGATATACAGAAAATATTTTTATTACTTTAAAAATATATTTTTATTTGTTTTCAGAAATATGTTTTGAATTAAATTTTAAATTTTGTGACTTTCCATTCTAATGAAATATATATATATATTTTTTTGGCATCTTATATATATATATATATATATATTCATTCATTGTAAATTATTTTCAAAACTATAAAAATGTTTCTTTTTTATGATATATAAATATTTGGAAAAAAGTAAACATTAAACTAAATTAAAAATCTAATTAACAGAAATTACTAAATTAAAAGTTAGTAGCATTTTTTAATTCATTACAGATACCTTTGTAAGTAACCGTCTTAGAATAAACTAGAACTTGATCCGTACCACGTGCGGGTGTTTGATTTAATTTGAGTTCAATGTGAATTCATAAACCATTGATTTCATGAAAAAATTATATATGTTGTTTTTATGTTTAGTAATTTACATATAGAATAAAATATATTATTTTATAATATATAAGTTTAATAATATTTTTTATTTTTACATAATATTATATTATAAATTTTATAATTTTATGCAATTTGATGTAACTATATTATTTATACATTAACATGTTTTTTAATTCATTTATTTAAAATGAACCAACATATTAAAAATTATTTTTTTTCATTAGTTTTTTTTATGAAATATCATTAATTTTATGATATTTTGTTTTCTTGAAAATTAAACTCTCGAAATTTTAGATTTGACTAAATCAAATAAAGTAATACTATATTTAAAAAATATTTTATATAATATATACTATATATATATTTCAGTTTGTGTTGTTATTTTCACCACAAAGAGAAAAAATCATTGTAATTAATTAATTTAAGTTGATTTTAATGCAATGGTAAAATTTGTAAATAAAAAGAATATAAAAAGAAAGTACTTAATTTATTATAAATGTAATGGCTGAATGTACAAATAAAAGAAAACATTTAATATGATATTCTTGTTTCCAAACAATTCTCATATATCCTACTATCCTTATTTCCAAACAGTACAAAAAGGTACTTCAATTTTAATAATATTGATGTGATCAACACGACATAGTAAACTGACTTCTCAAATAATATGATAAAGATATGGTAATAACTCATACATCATCATTAAAATAAATATATTTAAATATAACATTAAATAATATACTATATAAATATAAAATCATTCACAAATTTTGAAATATTATTTTAATGAATTTTTATAATCTTTCAATTTTATTACTAAAAATATTTTTAAAATTTTATACAATTTTTAACAGATTATAAAATTTTAACCTATGTCATTTGTTTCCTTTTGATATCTACGAAATTTAGAAATTTGGTTTAATTTTATTTTTGATCATTATACAATTGTATATCTTTTTCAATTTTATACTAGTTAATTTAATATATCATAACACAAAGAAATGAATGAAAATATATCCTTAAGTATAATTTAAAATAAATCAAACTGGTAATTTATCTTAATTTTATTTTAAACTACATTAGAATTTATATTAGAAAAACAATTATTTTAAAGTATAATTTTTTTTTTAATATTTTATTGATGCATATGGTGCAGGAGAACACCTAGTAATGTTATTATATATTCAATTAATTTTGGAGTGTTTCTTTAATAAACGTAAACAATTGGTAAATTGATTGTTTATGGTCCTATTTCAATCCAGATTTAAAATTGATGGAAGCAATGAAGCTGTGCTCCAGTATACTAGTCTGAACAAAAATGAAATTCTCGCTACAGTTGTATTGCAATAACTACACCGCCCAACAAACAGAAAGAACGGTACGTTTTGTTCAAGTTAACGAGTTCAGGAGGAGAGTTTCGAAAAGAGTTTAATGTAGGCCACACCCACACAATGATAGATTGTCAAGTTCGTAGACTTTTGTGTTGGTTGTTAGACATCATGGTCACGTACCTTGACCGGTGCTAGAAGAGTACTCCAATACAAATGTGTTCCCACCAAACGGGTACTAAAAAAAAGCACTATAAAATGTGAATCTTACGTAGATTCATTTTCATATGCAACACAGAGAAATCACTAAGAAATATTTTTAAAATTCGTTTAAGTGTTCATCAGCTTCTTCTTTTTCTATTTTTTTACGTTTCAACATTTTCCTTTCTTAGCTCAGCTTCTTTTTCGATAAATACGGATAGAGAAGCTTTGCTCTCGTTCAAGTCCCAAATTAGCCAAAATCCACAATCACTTTCATTCTCTTGGGACCGAAACACATCTCCTTGTAATTGGACTGGCGTGACTTGCAACACACGTAACAGAAGAGTGGCTTCCATCAACCTCTCTGGTCATGGTCTCACCGGTTCCATAAGCCCAAGTATTGGTAATCTCTCTTTTCTTACATCTCTTCAACTTCAAAATAACCAAATTCGAGGTCCAATTCCAAAAGAGATCACAAATCTTTATCGTCTAAGGGTTCTTAATTTAAGCTCTAACAGCTTAGAAGGATTCTTAACTTCCAACCTAAGCAAGTTAATAGAACTACGAATCCTTGATCTAACCTCAAATATGATCACGGGTATCGTTCCAAACCAACTTGGTGATCTTAAGAACCTAACTATTTTAAACTTGGGAAAAAATCTGTTGCATGGACCCATTCCACCATCTCTTTCAAACATTTCATCTCTCACCGTTTTAAGCCTAGGCACAAACTCCCTTAGTGGTCTAGTTCCTTACGAGTTAGGTCGTCTTCAAAGGTTACAAGTCCTTGATCTCACCATAAACAACCTCTCTGGAACAATTCCTCCTTCTATTTACAACGTCTCGTCTCTAGAATCATTGGTTATTGCTTCAAACAACTTTTGGGGTCGGTTTCCTAGCAACATAGGATACACACTTCCAAAACTCTTGGTTTTCAACGTTTGTTTCAACAAGTTCAGCGGAGAGATTCCAGCTTCTTTATACAACCTCACAAATATTAAGGTTATCCGTGCTGCACACAACCTCTTAGAAGGGACCATACCACCAGGATTGGGCAATCTCCCATTTCTAGAAATGTACAACATTGGATTCAACAAGTTAGTTTGGGGTAGAGATCAAAATCTTGATAGTTTCATCAAGTCTTTGAGTAATAGCTCCAAACTTAACTTCCTTGCATTTGATGGAAACCTTTTGGAGGGTGTTATTCCGGTATCTATTGGCAATCTTTCGAAGAATATTTCCAAACTTTTCATGGGAGGCAACCGCTTTACGGGTAAAATCCCTTCGTCCATCGGCGATCTGACAGGATTGACTCTGTTTAACATCACTGACAACTCACTCACTGGTGAAATCCCTCAAGAGATTGGGAAACTAAAAGGTTTGCAAGTGTTAGAACTCGCGAGAAATCGGCTTAGTGGAAGAATACCAGAGTCTTTTGGTGATCTGGGAGCGTTAAATGAGATCAACCTATCACACAACATACTAGAAGGTGGGATCCCACCATCATTTATAAACTTCAAGAATATGTTATCCATGGATCTATCCAACAATATGCTAAATGGAAGCATACCAAATGGAGTTCTTAGCCTACCTAGCTTGAGTGCGGTTTTGAACTTATCTAAAAACCTATTTTCTGGTCCGATTCCTCAAGATATAAGTCGCCTCGAAAGCCTTGTGAGTCTAGATCTCTCTAGTAACAACTTCTCAGGCCACATTCCTTCATCTATCAAAGATTGTCAAAGCTTGGAGAAGCTAAACATGGCTAGCAATAATCTTGACGGACCAATCCCGGATGCACTAGCTGAAGTAAAAGGTCTAGAGTTTCTTGATCTCTCTTCAAACCAGCTTTCCGGTGTTATTCCTCCAAAACTTCAGGAGTTACAAGCTATGAAGTTCTTGAATCTTTCATTCAACAATCTTGGAGGATGGGCCCCAAGCAGTGGAATATTCAAGGATCATTCTAAAGCTTATATGGAGGGGAATCCAAAGCTTTGCATTCACGCCACTTGTCGAAAAACTCGGACGCACTTTAAGATTTTGAAAGTGAGCATTATTACATGTGTGGTAGGTCTGATTGCAATATGTTTGATAAGTTTTTTGATTTGGAAAAGAAAGGCCAAAAAGTCTACCACATCTACAGCATCATCAAATTCACTCCTCAAGGAACCATTTATGAATGTCTCATATAATGAGCTCAGGAGAGCTACTGAGAGTTTCAACCCTAGAAATCTTCTTGGTGTTGGAAGCTTTGGATCGGTATTCAAAGGGGTGATACGAGGGGTCGATGTTGCCGTAAAAGTCATTGATCTCAAAGCAAACGGATACTACAAAGGCTTTTTAGCAGAGTGTGAGGCTTTAAGGAATGTAAGGCATAGGAATCTTGTGAAACTTGTAACTTCTTGTTCAAGCATAGACTTCAAAAACAACGAGTTTCTGGCTTTGGTGTATGAGTTTTTAAGCAATGGAAGCTTAGACGAGTGGATCATAGGTAAACATATAAAACCTGACGGGAGTGTTGGCTTGAATCTTGAAGAAAGGGTGAATGTAGCCATTGACATTGCATCTGCATTGGATTATCTGCACAATGATTGTGAAGTTCATGTGGTTCATTGTGATCTAAAACCTAGCAATATTCTTCTAACCAAAGAAATGGTTGCAAAGGTCGGCGATTTTGGGTTGGCTCGTGTTTTGTTTGATGCATCCGATGATCGTCATCACGCTTCTATAAGCTCCACACATGTCTTGAAAGGCTCCATTGGTTATATTCCTCCAGGTTAGTAAATTATTTATAAATATTATAAGCAACTTAGATATGCTAAACTCGTCTAATGGGTACATTAATAATTCTTTGTATATTCTTAAGCTGACTCTAATTGAAGTATACATTTGTGTACTATATGTGGTATTGTTATATATGCAGAGTATGGGCTTGGTGAAAAGCCATCACAAGGAGGAGATGTGTATAGCTTTGGAGTGATGTTGTTAGAGCTCTTGAGTGGGAAAAGCCCAATGGACGCTAGCTTCGAAGGAGATCAAAATCTAATATCATGGATCAGTTATGGGTTTCAAAGTAATGCAATTATGGAAGTGATTGATCCTAAACTTACGGGGCTCATCGATGTTTCTGGTGCACAACTTAATGAAAAACTTGATTGCCTTAAGAAAACTATTGAAGTTGGCTTGGCTTGTACTTCGTACGCAGTTGGCGGACGGATGAACATGAGAGATGTGCTACGCTCATTGAAAGAGGCCAAGGACATGCTTATCAAGGGAAACTAAGCGTCCATTCATATTTTCCTATTAGTTACTTTAAGTGAATATGTAAGTTGCTTATAAAAAAAAAAGATATGTTTATCTTACCTCTTTAATTACAATTTTTGTTTAATAACGTTTATAATTCTCTAGTAAAATGTAGTTGCTTGTAATTCTGTGGGAATAAGGAAGTTGAATAGCAGTACTGTTGTCTCAAGACTCTCAACTAATGTGTGCTTGTCTTCATTCTCTGATTCACACAAAATTTAACATTAAAATTGCTTGATAAATGAATCGGTATCACGACAATAGGTCGATCTTGCTTTGCTTTTCAAGTTTGAGACTGATTTTATACTGTTCCTTCAATAGTTTCTTTTGGTTCATAAAATATTTAGATTATTTTTTCAATTATTTATGTTAACTTTTACAAAGAGACTCTGGTTATATATACAAAACCCTATAAGTATTATGAAATATTTAAATAACTATTGCATAATTTCTATATATCTTAATATCTCTTTTCACGTTGGAGCAAAAAGTTCTCGAATGTCTAACTTGGCAAGATCGTAAGGTCTCCAAGCATTTGCGTGAAGATATCTGCCAACTGATCTGTGAATATGCATGATTCATGCGTAGAATCTCTTCTTGTATATTATCCATGATGAAGTGATAATGTGACTCCACATATTTTGTCTTCTTATGAAACATATGTTTAGCTGTAACATGAAAATCAATTTTACTATTACAATACATATTCATGCACCTGAATGTGCAATGCCCATACATGATTGTGGGAACTGAAATTCACATCGTGATTTTTGTATAAATTAGGAAAGTTAGGAAAATTCTAATTATCCACAGGTCCCAAATCTCTGAGAGAACCAACAACAAGTGACTAAATAGATGCGGAAAATGTGAAAAGGCAACAAAACAAATTTATAGAAAACAGTAGATATTATTTCCATCCGCGTAAGAGAGTTATGATCATTGCAAGAGATTATAAAAGCTTTGGTCGTAAGAGATGTCAGCGAGGTTTTGATGAGTCACAGCTCGATAACAAAGGATGAAAAAGATACGAAAAAGAGGTTTTGATAGATTTCAGAATGAAACTTATTAAAAGCTGCATACGTACCCCTTCCAAGGATCAAGGCAAACGTAGTTCAACGAAAAAAGTTGGACAAGAGGATCGAACTACTTGGGCGAGTTTGTCTAGTAATCGAGCGCCAGTCATAGAAACCAAACTTGTCGAGAATAAAGCTTAAGGTTTCTAAGTGCAAAGAGTTATAAGTATAAAGGAATCATTGTGCTCTTTTCCTTGGCTCCCCTTAGATACTCCTCCTTAGGTTGGTTTTGACATTCCTTTTCCGCACCTGGGGCCGAGTTTATCTTCTTGCGGAATATTCCACTTTTCTCGATCTTCATGATTATCTTTGGAAACTTAACATTTCGCTTCTAGACTTGACATTTATCTTCTACTGCGAGTAATAGATAAAATATCATGATATTCTTGGGCTAGACTTCGTCTACAATCGTAAGTGGGCTTTTATCGTGTTTTATAACCTTTCGGGCCGTTTTACGATTTTAAGCCTTTTTACGATTTCTAAAGAAATCGTCCTTGATACGACGCTGTTTTTGTAAAATATTTAAAATTACTCGTATAGTCAAGGCATCCTTGGGGTTATGTTAACCGTTGCCATTTTATACAATCAATTTTAACTTATACGAGAAAACAAGTCTTTGTGGTTTTGTCGTAAAGTTCCAACGGTTACTTCGATTGAGACGAAACGAGAGACAGTCTGATTATAGTTCAGAGTGTGATCGAGCCAAGGATTTTTATATCGTGTCGTAATCTCCATTGGGCAAGTTGGATGGTATAGTCGAACTCGCCCGATGGCGAGTTGGACGTTGTGTCCTACTCGCCACCGGGTGAGTTGGATGGAACGGTCTAACTCGGCCGATGGAAAGTGTGGGAACCAAAATTCGCACTGTCAATTTTCCGTCAAATATGAAAACTTAGGAAAAACCCTAATTTTCCCCAGGTCCTGGATCTCTGCGGAAACACACTTAAAACGAAAAAAAGATAAGAGAATGCATATGAAGAAATTGCGCAAAGGCTATTACTAATAATGAGATTGAGATGCTGTTACAAAGAGAATCGCGGAACTTAGATGACAAATATTTCTAAGGATCCGACTTGCTAGTCTAGCCACCTAAGTCCTAAATTCGCCTAAGCTAACACAGCCGTTTTTCAAGGTCTCAAAAGCTCTCCCCTCTTGACTTCGACCTCATGCTTATGTACTCCTTTTCTAGGTGGTTGGTCTTTCCTTTTCCGCTGCGATTCGCGTTTATCAGGAATCTTCGATTTTTCTTGATCTTTCAATTTTTCTTCGGAAAAACTTCTATTTAGCTTCAATCTTGACATTTATCCACTCCTGCGGATAATGGTCAAGCCGTCATTGTATCTTTGAGCTATACCTTATTCAAAGTCGTGAGTGGGCCTTTATCACATTTTAGGCCCTTCGGGTCGTTTTACTATTTAGCCATTTTACAACTTTAGACGAGATCGTTTCTTGATACGATGCCGTTTTTAAGTAAACATATCAAATTAATCGTATAGTTTGGCAATGTTTGCTGTTTTGTTTAACCGTTGCTGTGCTATACGATTAACCCAAGGTTTTACGAGAAAACGTGTCTTTAGCGATTTTTTATAAAAAAATCTCGAGTTAATCGTATAGTTTGGCAATGTTCGGTGTTTCGTTTAACCATTGCCGTTTTATACGATTTACTCGAGGTTTTATTAAAAAAATACGTCTTTTACGATTTTTATCGTAAAACTCAAACGGTAAGGCAGATTGAGACGAAACAAAAGATGTTCTGATCACGGCTCAGAGTACGATCGAGTCAAGGGGCATAGATGGTTTACTTCAGCTCGCCAATGGGCGAGCTGGTCACATGTGTGGTCAGCTCGCCCATTGGCGAGCTGGACAGATTTTTTCAGCTCGCCAATGGGCGAGCTGGTCACATGTGTGGTCAGCTCACCCGTTGGCGAGCTGGACAGATGCGTTCAGCTCGCCAACGGGCGAGCTGGTCACATGTGTGGTCAGCTCGCCTGTTGGCAAGCTGGACGGTTGGCCGGTTTTGATCTTTTCTTATTTTCTCGGGAAGCAGTCCGGATCTTAGAAGAGCTCTACGAAGGAGAATGCGGCTCTCACTCTAGCGGACGAAGCCTAGTGCTCAGAGCCAGGCTGGCTATTACTGGCCCACGATGGCCAGTGACGCCCTCAGAAAAGCCAGGTCCTGTGACCAATGCCAAAGGCACGCGCCGATCTCCAACCTCCCTCCGAAGAACCTAAAGTCTCTAAGCTCTCCCTGGCGTTTCCGAAAATGGGGCATGGACATCGTCGGGAAATTCCCAATGGCACCAGGACAAAAGGTATTCCTCCTCGTGATAACCGACTACTTTACAAAATGGGTAGAGGCCGAGGCCCTAGCCACGATTACTACAGAGAAAATAAAGAAGTTCATATGAACAAACGTGATAGCCCGCTTCGGCACGCCCCAAGAGATTGTCACAGACAACGGGCCCCAGTTCACGAGCCACGACTTCGGAGAATTCTACCAAGAGTGGAACATCAAGCTCTCCTTCTCCGCACCGCGGCACCCACAGTCAAACGGCCAGGCTGAATCTACAAATATAACTGTGGTCAACATGATCAAGAAATGCTTGGAGAAAGCCCACGGGCGCTGGGAAGAAGAGTTACATGGAGTCCTCTGGGCTTATCGGACCCTCCAAAAACAGCCACACAAGAGACTCCATTTTCATTAGTCTATGGCTTGGAATCCGTGATACCCACAGAAGTACACGTCAGAACGACTGTCTCCGGACCCATCTCCCAGGAGGAAAACAATGAATTGTTGACCCTAAGTCTGGATCTACTTGACGAAAAGAGAGAAGCTACTCGCCTGAGGAATCTGCAGGGAAGCTACCCCCAGGATGGGTAGGCCCCTACAAAATAATTGGAGTGCAAGGAGCAGGAGCTTACAAGCTGCAAGACAGCAAAGGAAAGGTCCAACCTAACTGCTGGAACGGCCTGCACCTCAAGCTCTACCATTTCTAATAAGATCTCTGGATCAGGTTTTCTAAAGATACCTAGCTATCTATATGTTTTAAGTACACCGGTTTCCTACTCCTATGTATGCTAAGAACCTCTACGGAGTAAGTTTATATAGCATATTTTAGTTCCGACTAATGGAGTCACAGGAATTCCACTGAACTTAAAAGGGGCATACTAGCTGGATCAAGCCCCAAGGGGCACATCGATCCTGAAAAACCCTACATCTACGTGACATGACTCACATATAAAACCACCAAGATGGATCAGGCCCCAAGGGGCACCTAGATCCTGGAAAACCTTACATCTACGTGACATGATTCACATATAAAATAAACTTGGGTATGCGAATTGGAACATGCCTGATCAACCTTAATACAATATCGAAATTACCCCAGCCCCTGCATAGAGGCCTCAAGCCGTAAACCTACAAGGGGGCGACATGTACTAGTGCATCAATCCCTGCATCAAACACGCCCCAAGCTAAACGAGATGCATGGGGCATGACGTATAACTGCAGAGTACTGAGATAAGCCCCATGTTTTCAGGGAGCAGACGGTGCACAAAACCCCGAGAGAACTTCTATCCTACTTATCCAGACGTGGAAAGTAGCAAGTCTGGTATGTGGCTCACTACTTCCCAGCATACCCACCCCAGCACAAAAATATAAGACTGAGAGTGGCTTTCTGCAGAAAGCAGAGTGCAGCATTACATGATCTAGATAGTGGCCTACTTCTGAGTTGCAGAATTCGAATCCTTACCCGAGATCGGTAGTGGCCTACTTAAGGGGGGCAGAATACGATCTCGATGACAGTGAGCCTCCGGGCCTCAAATGTTCAAAATTCCGAATTTTACATTTTTACATGAGATCGGTAGTGGCCTACCCAAGGAAGGCAGAATACGATCTCAAAGACA